TTCCCTACTTTTGATGACCTACCTAAAAAACAGAAATCAGGCAACCAGCTTCATACCTGGTTCTGTGGCATTAGAGCTCTTAGAGAGAAACCTACTTGGTTCCTGTTCTGTATCCAGGAGGGGGACATGTTCCTGACTTTTTTACACTGTGTAAGTTTTTCACCAAACACACCAAAAAGCCTGCAGTATTCACACAAATTATATGTCTGTGAGGGTGTCTATGAATAAAACTTTTTAAAAAGAAGAAAAAAGCATTCAAATTAAAATTGTGACCGCTTGCTGTCACAAACAGTTGTTAGAAGATAACATCAGGGTTTGCATTTCTCCTTCACTTCCAGTTCTGACTCTTCTAAAGTGTGACACTATTGAGAGCAGTAGTCTTATACAAGTCTACAGAACAACAGAGTGAGATTAAAGAGGTTGTCCAGTTCATCTTGATCTTTATGAAGTTCTGCATCCTGAATGTCATGATTAGGCCAGCATGCATGGATTCTCATTCACCGCATAAGGATATAGTGTGATGGGGCACAGGCAGTGGTGGGTGCCAGGTGGCTGAGGCCGTGCTGCATGGGGAAGGGTGCCAGGAGGGCCCCAAGTGCCCTGATGGCTGCTGTAAAGGAGGGGGCTCTGGGCTGTGGGCCATGCGGGGGAGAAGGCGGGGGACCCAAGCAGCCCCCCCCGTCCTCCCTGCCCAGTCCTCTGCACCCACACAGCCCCGACTCCAGTCTCCCATACCCCCAGCCCATACTTACCTGGGGATAGAGCCCAGGTCCAGGTCACTGCAGCCTGCACCTCTCCTTGCCCTGCACATGCTGCAGTGTGCTGCAGCACCAGGGCAAGGGGCAGCCATAGAGACGGAGCTGCTCTGGCCAGCTACCGGTTGCCTGCCCAGCTTTTTTTCCGCAGGGTTGTTTTTTTTTGATACCTGGATATCCAGTTATCAAATTTTAAGTCTGCGCTGCAAATATGTAATACAGGGAATGTTTTTGTGTTCCCGGAGCCGCTTGCTGCACCTCAAACTGCTTTGAGATGCAGCAAGAGGCATGTGTGCGCTTGTGTTGATGCGCCCGTACGGGTTTTTCTGGTTAGTCTCAAAATGCCACTTCCACTTCTTATAAAAGACCTGCTTGGGTAAACCAACAAAAAAAGCTGTGTGAACACAAAATGGATTCAAAATGTATTTAATTTATCCAGAGAATATTCCAGTTAGAATTGTCCCTTGGCAGTAATCAGCAATAGCAGACTAAAGCAGAGTGCTGAAGACATTTAGAGGAACTAGTCAAAGACCAGACTCCTCTATTTTCTATTCTAGTTAGTGTTTATATTATGTGAGTCATAGCAGTACCTGAGATGTCAGCATATCCCTATACAAAAAATTCCTAAACACAAAGTTCAAACTTTGCAGCTCAGTTTCTATTCACTAGTTCATAAGAATTTCAGTTTCCCAGAGTTCACATGACTCACCTCAGCAGTACGATTCTAGTCACACACACAAGTACACACAGTCCCAAATTTGCCAGGCAACTTGTATTGATGATACTAGAGTGACAATATGTATTTTAACTAGATTCTGGCAAACTCTTAGCATACTCTCTCAGACTGAAACATGCTCAGTAATAATGAGGAGAAGATGAAGTGAATATAAAGAAAGACTGTAATATGTTCTGAGTTATTTTTGCTCCTTTTCATAACTGTTTCTCTCTTCCTTCAGAGAGGCATTAAAGAGAAAAGCAAGTGGCAATGATTGCACAAGTCCCATTGCAAATGGTTCTGGCTCAAAAAGAGATGCACACTTCTGTGCAGTCTGCAGTGATTATGCTTCAGGATATCACTATGGGGTTTGGTCATGTGAAGGATGTAAAGCATTCTTTAAAAGAAGTATCCAAGGTAGGAAAAACTCTTTTTGAAGACTTTACCTAGATAGTTGTTTTTTTTTTCCATAGGACCATTTACATAAGTACTATTTAAAATGGCCACTTGAGTTGGTCTGTTGACTTCGCATACAGCAATGCATTTATGTATAATAGAATAACAAGAGTTGAGTACCCTGCCCTTGGTCCTTTATGTTGCTGTCAGAGTGTGGGAGGGCTGGCAATGTCTTTAGGGGACGGTGTCAAATCTATCGCCTTTTAGAATCTGGGAGTAGATGCAATAAAGGAATGGCATGGCAGATTCCTTGGATTTTATGCAGTTCTGGGTTCAAAAGTAGATGCATTAGTTGAGCATAATTCAGGGAAGAGAATGGTTCGAGGGAGAATATGAAATAAAATGTAAAGCATAATCAGGATTTCAGCCATATTTAGGTAAAATCCTGAAGTTTTTTTTGTGGAGTCACTATTGCAGCTGTTCCTCACCAGAATTAAGATATACCTTCTAACCCATTATTAGGGAGGTCACTGCAGGAATGGGAATAGTTTCAAATATTGAAATTCATTGGGTGCATCTAATACAGTATTTCCATGGCTTCTGACTTAGCCTCTTGACTGGAATGGTTAGTGCTGCCTATGCTCTTTGGAGGCCTTGGGCCCTGAATCCCTTAATCTCAACTTCAGTAATGTCTCCCTTAGTGGAGCCAGGCCATATCTTCACTGCAAATGGGTGAGGTATGTAGAGGCCTCAAACAATGTTTAAGTATCTCTGTTTTTCTTATTTGCTGTGGGATTTAGTGATACAAATCTACTTGCATATACCTTATGCAACAGGTTAAACATTGCCATTTGAGTAAACCTTTGTAAAAAAGTGGTTGACAAATTAGTCCAGAGAGGGAAATAGCTAACATTAAAGTAACAATAATTGATATGAGAACCTTATGTGCCCACAGAATAAATTTGGTTTTGACGTGTTTTGTGCAGACTTATTTATCTGATACTCGTTTTGCTTGCCCATGCTTTATATTTGAACAAGATACCTGTTTTAGTCCATTGTACCCTTTGATGCACCTAAATGACTTACTTGGGGGTCCTATAAATAAAAATAAATGATTTTCTCTGCACAAAACATATTGTACGCTCTGTTGCATCCAGGCATGTTCAAGGTATTGCTGTTAAAACATCAGAAATTATTTACTAAAACCAGTTATGTTTAACCAGTTTTAAAGCGAGAAGTTGTTTTTTATTTATACTATGGTTGTATGTTTGTCATGTTGTTTTCAGGAGCAAGGCTTTTAGCTAGAATCCTTAATAATAAACTGAATTGAAATAATAAATTGAATTAATACTTGAAAACTGCCATAACTTTGCAAAAGTCAGTACAAATTAATTCCATCAGTGGTTATTCTTCTTGGTGTACTTAAATGCCTGTAGCTGCTGCAAAAAGTACTTGGGGATTACAGTTATTTTCTGAGATACAGTTGCAGATTGACTATTGTAATTTAAATTTAAGGGAGAAGCAATTTACTTTAAATTTAAATGGAAGGCTATGAAAAAATAAGTAGTCAGAGTACTTCCCATGGGTAAGATAACCATTATTTTAATAGACACAAATTAAAAAACAATATGCCTTTCTTTAACCTGGATCAGTGCTGCTTACTCACAGGAAAGATCATACTGGAGTTCAAGAGATCGGAACATAGTTAAGTTCTCTGTGAATGAAAATTTACTCCATATCCCAAAGGCAAGAATTTTGTAGGGTGATATCTTTTATTGGACCAATGGTATAGCTGGCATACAGTTAGACAAGCTCTCAAATGCAAGGCATTCTTCATCAGAAATCCTTACATCTCACATAATTTTTGGACTGCCATGGCTACAACATCACGCTTACACTCCGTATCCAGAATGGTGATGCTATAGAGATGGCCAATCCTAACTGTTCTCAAGGTTTAGGGAGAGGTGTTGGTAATGGCAAAGTACCTGTGTGTAGAAAAGAGGAGGGCGAATATTGTGGATGCACTCAATTCAACATTGCAATCTCTGCCAAAAAGTCTCTCAAAAAGTTCACTCAGTCTGAAGCTGCCCTCACTTCCCTTAAAGGAGATTCTAGGGAAGGCACTGAACGCTGAGCTCCTGACGACATGGCTCAGTTGAAACCAAAGTTGGCAGATAGAGGACCCTGAGTAGTATGAAAGCCCATGACCTCCAGCACTTAAAAGGTTTGGAGGCAGAACTTCTACCTTGAACCATGGTGACTGGAAGGAAATATACCCCGCTTGTCTGTGACTGCTGGGTCTCATAGAAAATTCTTCAACTCAGTCCTCCTTTTCTCTGATTCCTCAGTGAAGACTCATTTGGCCCTAAACGTGTCAAAACTTAGGGTGATTATACATCTGCTCTGGGAGTGTGTGTGGGGCTAATTAGAGCAGCTCCAAGAGTTACTCTAACTAAAACGCCTGGAGTTTCATGTGTATCAGCATGCCCGCGCTGAAAAATGGCAGCGGGGGTTCTTTAACTAAAGCTCATCAAACGAGCTTTAGTTAAAGCGCCCTTGCTGCCATTTTTCAGCAAGGGGCTTTGATACACGTGACACTGGAGCATGGTAATTGCTAGGCTCCAGCAGACTCGATTAATTGAGTCTGCTTCAATGCACTGTAATTACAGTGCGTCGGAGCAGGCTCACTGCACGTGTATATCTCGTTACACTGTACTGTTCAGAAGGGAACTTTAATGCATCTTCTCTGAGCAGACATGTTACAAGCCCAGAAACACCAGCAACAGTCTACAACATGTAAAGGTGGGGGAGATCAGGGCACGTACCCTATGCAACATGTTAACCAGTGCTCTTTAAGTAAACCTTTGTAGAAAAGTAGTTGTCAAATCAGTCCAGAGAGGGGAAATAGCTAAAATTAAAGTTACAACAATTAATGTGAGAACTTTATGTGCCTACAGAGTAAATTTGGTCTTGATGTTTTCTGTGCAGAATTATTTATGTGATACTCACGTTGCTCACTTATGCTTTACATTTGAACAAGATACCTGTTTTATCCATTGCACCCTTTGATGCACCTACTGCAGTGACAAGGAAGCAGGTGATGAATATGTTGGGAGATGGACCTGTAGCTAATAGCACTGGAGTGCTTCTGCGCACTCGGTGCCCTTGTGTAGAGGAGCGTGGGCTGTTGTAACTTGAACGGCTCCTCAGGGTTATCTGAATTATCCCAAGGCTTCTGAGTAGCTTAAAACCAGGGGGCTTAAAATCCTTTTCTGCATGACAGAGAATCTCACTCCTTGGTCTTGGGGGGAGTGATAAGGCAGTAACTTGTTTGTCAGTCCCATCTGCCAGCAGGAAATGGGACAAACTGTAATCGTATCTTTTTCTGAGCACTGTAGGTTCAAAACTTCAAGGTTGAAAAATATTTTAATTTTACAAGGAAAAGGTCACAATGGCTCTGGGAAAAGAACCCCTGAAGTACTCGCTCACAAACCCAGAAAACACAAATTCTCGTGTTACATCTATACATAAAATAGGTATTGTGGGGAAATAATATGTAGAAAAAGAAAATGAACAACAACAACAGCCCCCCAAACAAACAAAAATAACCTTTTGCAAAATGTTCTGAGAGGAAATAGAGAAAGAGCTACAAATGAATGTGACTGTTTTGTACTTCAGCTAATTTCTGAGAGGGAGACTTAACAGCAGCTGTCTTGATTTGTATTTAAATAATATAGGATGCTTGCAGATGTAAAAAAAATAAAAAGGAAATCCCCCCCAAATGGTGCTTTACTTTAAACTCAGCATGTTCCTGTGCCAAGCCCCGCGCATGCCCAGAAGAGGCAGCGTGTTACTTCAACCTGGCTCACCCAATGTCTGTAAAGATCAGGCGCTTTTGTGGGGCTTTTTTGGTGCTTTTATCTAACAGCTGATTGAATCAGCTATTAGCTAAAAGTGCCAAAAGACCCTGCTGAAGCGCCTGATCTTTACAGACACTGCATAGCCAAGTTGAAATAATGTGCTGCTGCTTCCAGTAAAGCACGGTTTGGTTTTGTTTTTTTAACATCTGCGAGCAGCCACGGTGACTTGCTTCAATAAAACCTCTCGGAGCAGATTCTTTGCTAGTGAGGCTCTCCTGCCTTCATTGGTGATGTGGCAATAAAGAACGGGTCTATTGACTTCAATCGTGTTAGGCTCAAGTGAGAGGAGGCGTTTGGTCAAATGTAATGTGATACTTTTTGGAACATGCTGATATTGAAAATCTGCCTTATTTCTAGAATCAAAATCTCGATTACATGTTTGTAACTCAGGTGCAACTTACATGAGTAAATTTTTCAGAAGCCAGTCGGGAACTTCAGGGCTTCCACCCTTTGGAAAGCTTTTCCATCTAGAGCCGTGTTTATACATGGTAGATGCTTATATGAAAGGCACTTGATGGAAGGCACTTGACCTTTTTCCAAAGCATGGAGATTGAAATGACTATATATTTTGGGTTTTTTGAAGATTAAAAAAAAATGTGACATACTGGTTTCTCTTTTTGGTACATCTTAGTGATGCATGCACATTTTTAAAACCACAATCTTTGAAACAAGTGTTTTTCCAACTTGTATAACAAGAGATTATTGTTAGAGCTTTAAGCCTTTCTTCTTTATACCCTGTTGCAGGACACAATGATTATATCTGTCCAGCTACCAATCAATGCACAATAGATAAGAACAGGCGCAAAAGCTGCCAGGCGTGTCGCCTAAGGAAATGCTATGAAGTGGGAATGATGAAATGTGGTAAGTTTTGTTTTCTGTTTTTTATTTGTTTTGAATCCCCTTGCCTTTTTTTGTTCACCTTCTAAGGTACATTTAGGTCCTGACCAGGCATGAGAGGTAATTAAAGTAAGATGTTGTTGCTTATCACTTTGGGAAGGAAACGTACTCAGGAAGGCCCAACCCTGCAATATGTAGCATGCAGCAAGGCTGCTGCAACCCTGTGGAGTCCTGCTGAAGGTAGTCCTGCCTGCACATTACCTACTGCAGGACTGAGATGCACGTGTTCCTGCTGTCCTTAGGATCTGACTCTGCAGGCACAGCAGCGGCACCTGAGCTAACTTTAGACTAGTTTGCTTCGGTATTGGTAGCTGTGGCAACCCAGAGCTCTATCGGGGCTAATTTACTCTGCTTCTTAACAGAACGCCTTGTGACTGTAGTGTAGACATATCCTAAGAGATGGCATTTAAAAGGTAAAAAATCAAACTGAATGGTAAAAGTTGAATTTAATGGTGTTAGGCTTAAGTGAAACAAGCCTTTTCGTCAAATGTGATGTGATACTTTTGGAACAGCAGCAATATGCTGATATTGAAAATCTGCCTTATTTCTTTTTACAGTGCTGATTACTCACTATTTACATTTGCTCTATTCAGGCAACAAAAATAGGATAGGAGAGCACATGTAGTAATGCAGAACTAAAAGGCATCTCCTAGGTCACTGACTCCAGTGCCTTGCTAGAGAAGGAAGCCATGCCGTATCATTGCATTAATAAACTTTTCAAGGTTGATTTCAAAACTAGCCAGGTTTTTTCTGGTCAGCCCTTCTCCTGCTGGAAGACTGATTTAGAACCTCTCTGCCCTGTTTAGAAACCTTCATCTTCTTTTCAACCTAAATTTATTCATGGCCAATTTGAATCTATTTGTTCTTGTGCCAGCACTGTCCTTTAGCTGAAATTGTTCTTTTCCCTTCCCGCTGTATTTATAGGCAACAATCAGATCCCCTCTCAGCCTTTGTGTTGCTAAGCTGAATCAGCCAAGGTTTCTCAGTTTTCCCTCTCCCCCTGATCATCCTAGTAGCCTTTTTCCAGACCTGTTCCAGTTTCACATCTTTCATGTTTACAGGTGACCAGAATTGCATAACTCCCAGATGAGGTGCCTTGCCAGTGCCTTGTACAATGTCACTAATACCACCTTATCTGTGCTGGAAATATTGCACTTGATGTATCCTAGGATCACATTCACCCTTTTTGTGTAGCCAGTTCACGTTGGTCATCCTGTGATTAGCTAATACACCCAGGCCTTACTCCTCCTGTGTCATTTCCAGGAGATGCTCCCCCATCTTCTAGCAGAAATTCACATTAGCCCTTGTGCTTTTTGCTATTAAATTCCCTCCTGTTTTCTTACTCCAGCCCCTTCCTATATGATGAGCTGATCCTTCTTTTTATTGACAATGTATTCCAGCTCATTACCAGGACACTTCCACTTTGTTTCTCTCTTGCTCTCATGAAGTCAGTTCCAAAACCTGTAAATGGAAATATAGCTACTTCTGAAAATTGCTATAGCCTGCCCATAAAGCCAAGTGTGACTGAGACCTAACTGGGTTGTAAAGTCACAAAGTCACAGAAGTGTAGGGGCTGGGAGGGACCTCATGAGATCATTGGGTCCCCCTGCTTTGGGCAGGAAAGACTGCTAGGGTCAAATAACCCCAGCAAAGTGTGCGTCCAGACTCCTTTTGAAGATCTCCAGGGTAGGTGCCTGCACCACCCCCACTGGGAGTCTAGTCCAGAGTCTGGTGACACGAACCATGAAGAAGTTTTTCCTTATACCCAGCCTGAGACCTTCTTCTAGGAATTTATGACCGTTGCTCCTGGTTTTTCCCTGAGGTGCTTTGGTGAATAGTTGTTCACCCTGATGCTCTCCCCTGATATATTTGTAAGCTGCCAACAAATCCCCCCGAAGTCTTTTCTTTTCTAGGCTGAACAGTCCCATATCTGTCAGCCTTTCCTTGTATGGGTGCTCTTCAGGCCTCTAACCATAGTCTCAGGGAAGTAGTTTTTAAAAGCAAGCAAAACCTATTTTCATAGCAGTTGGAAATGAAAACCATGAAAATGTATTTGGAAGCATTTTGGAGAAAGGATCTTTTTTGTTCTGTGGCAGTTTGATAAGAAGCCCAAGTCATTAATGAGGATGTGGCCATTATGGAGATACCAATAATAAACAATAACATAGCAATCCAAATTTTGGTTTGTAGTGCCAGTTGAATATCTTTATGTCTTTATGAATGCAGAATTGTAGCTTATTTGTGGGGTGGGAGATGTACAGCTCTAGTTTTCAGCATCTCAGACTAAAACTGACCCTTAAATGTGGTGGTTATCTAAAAATTAACACGAGTGTCTCATTTCTAAAAAAGCTGAATGGAAAGTGAAAAGCAGGTTTTATGAATTCCAGTTGAACATTCTGTCCAGTTCAATTTCCCTTGCCAGTAAAAGGAAAATAAAAATGACATATCTGGTAATCAAACCCACTTGCCTCAAAGCATCTAATCAATTCAGTTTCAAGATATCTCTAAGGAAAAGGTGATGTTCATCAACGTTATGCCTTCGGTTACTGTGAGCAGCAGAAGCGTAGCCTCGTAGTTTAGATTTTATGAGCTGTCATGCCATTCTCCATCAGGCAACATTTCCATTGACTTCTGTGCATATTTGCATTTTTAAGTCTCCCTATTTGTCTCTTGAGACACAAAATGCTATTTTTTCATGAAACAAAGCATTGCATTTCTGACTCATTTTTTTGTCCTTGTTAGATGTTTGCTTTAAACATCTTGTGTTCTTATACTGCTCCTAACTGGCAGGACATATTAGGGGAGGGATCGCTCTACACATGCCCTCTTTCTACAAGACCCTGAATTACATGAACTTGTTGGCATACCTTCCTTTTCAGGAGGGAGAGTTCTCTTTCTCCTAAACTGAAATATTTATTTTTTCCCAATTCACTGGCTAATGAGTAGTTTGGTCTAGGACAGGATGTCTGACAAGGAAGGAGGGACTTTGGGTCAGCAGAGGCTGTTTACTTTGGTAGAGGGATTTTGTTACTCACCCTTAGCTTCACCATTTCTTTTGTGTACCTCCTGCCACTGCATGGAAAGTGTCCATTAATTAAACCCCAAATCTGGCAAAGCTCGTATTAATGTAACTTCAGATTGAACAGCTACCAAATTCTCCTTTGGGGCTGAATCTATACAAGCTCTAAATATACATATTTTTAAATAAGATTGTATTTTACATCCACCCTTTTTATAAAGAGTGGAAGGCATCATTACAAAAGTCATGTCTAAGAAGTCAAATTAACAGGTTACAGCTCTATTGGTAAAGTATATGTTTAGGAACTTTGTATTAAGGTGTAAATGAAGATTTATTATGGGGAAATAACATTACTATGAAAAAAGGAAAAACCCCTCAGACACAGCATCTGCAAAATTCACCTTGGGAAGTCCATGTCACTCACTCTGCAGGCCAGGGAAGAACAATGTCCTGCTAAATTGCACCTTGGAGAAAACACCTCATCAGCTTCAGCAGAAACTTGACCAGCTGTGGAAAAGTAACTAATACACCATCAACTGGCACAAGGGGAAAACCAAATTTATGCAAGTTACAAGTAAAAAATAAACCCAGTCCAGCAGGCTCAGGCAAAGCGTAGCAGGAAAAAAAGGATAATTTGCAGGTGATGTATATGCATCACCATGCTGATTAACCTCTCTACTCAAACCTGTCCTTCCAGGAAATATGGGTGTCTTTGCCCACAACTTGTCTTACTTTTTCAGTGTGGACTGGGAGCTCCTTTACAGCGTTGGAGGAGCTGAGGCGATGCGGAGTTCCACTGCTGAGTATCTTTTGGAGCTTTCTGGTATTGTCCTTGCGAGCCTGACATGGACTGAGCCATTTATCCAGGGCAGTCACGAAGAGGGGAGGTACTTCATCTTTTTGCTATACTATCCACTATTGCTTGCTGGGACTAGAATAAGTCTCCTCATAAATAAGTGTGTAGGGTTCCTGTTGGACTGGGTTTATTTTTTTCTTCTGTGACATTTCCCTCTCCACCCTCAAGAACTTTGCATTTTCTCCTTGTGCTGGCTCTGAAGGACGATGAAAGGCAGAATCTGACTCTCAAACTTCGGGGATGGGGGAGAAGGTCATTAATGGATCATCCAAATCTTGTCTTTGGATACTTGTATCGGTCTCCATGGTCCTGTAAAATAATTTGTACAGACTTGGGCCAGTTAGAGCTGCCAAGGGCAGGGGTTAATTGTCTTTCCCTCCACATTTAAAAATTGAAGTCACAATTTGTTAGATGGTACTTCCAAGTATTGCAGATTTCTTACTATGGTGTTTAGGCATTTAAAGAAAAACAATTTTTATAGTAATCCCTGAACTTCAAATAGAGTAACTGTACTGGGTTTTATTCTGACTACATTCAGAAGTAATTTAAGCTCTTGTTCTTCGATGCCTGTAGCAGGCGAGCTGCTTTGCTTTCAGAAGACCTGTAACGAATTTTGTAGGAACTCATTCAAAAACTAAGAATGAAATTTCATTTTAATAGGTCCCTAACATCGGGTTTCTGTGATGATTTGAGGCCTGAGTTTTACTACTGTGTATCAGTGGAAAAAAAATTGAAGCCGAAATATTTAATTGTAAAATTTGAAGTTCATATCAACTGGTTAGTGGCATAAGTTACCATTTGGGTAGGAAAAGCAATGCTGTAGACAAGTAGTGCCTGGTGCCGCCCCCTCCTGGCCCTTCCACATGGATTGGGTGCTGGGGCCCTGCACGGCCCCTGCCAAATCCAGCATGCAAGGCCTGGGGCTCCCTACAAGTCCAGATACTTGACAGTGCAGGAGTGGTGCCACCACTTTCCTGCTGCCAAATTACTGCACCAGTGAGGAATCCTGTGGCCAGGTGACATGGCACTGTGGACCAGATTTGGCTGCAGACCGGGGATAAGTACCCCTGCTCTAGACCTTTAGGCAAATGTCTAACCCAGCAGATGTGCACAGTGTAATATGAATATGAAGCGATGCTATGGTTAGCTACATATTGTATTGTTCTAACTCTTCAATAACTACATTAGAGGGTTTGCAAAACTTGCAAATCATAAGTCTTACTGCAATAGCCAGTGTAATTAATTTGCAGTGAAATCTTCCTTGAAGATCATTTGCAAACCCAATTAGCCACTGATATAACAAAGAAATTGCGTGATCAGTTCACAGTGTTCAGTTAGAGAACAAAGAAAGCTAATTTGGGTATCTGATTCTACCTGATTTTGTTTGCTCTGCTCTGGTGTTGAGTTTTGTTAGGCAGGACAGGTGTGAAGGCAGTTTTGCGGTAAGGCATTTAGTAGAAGCTCCTGTGTACAGTTAATTAGTTTTTCTCTGCAACAGAAAAGGATCTAGTAAAATGTCAGCAAGAATATTTTTCAGTGTGGACTGGGAGCTCCTTTACAGCGTTGGAAGAGCCGAGTCAATGCAGAGTCCACTGCTGAGTATCTTTTGGAGCTTTCTGGTATTGTCCTTGCGAGCCTGACATGGACTGAGCCATTTATCCAGGGCAGTCACGAAGAGGGGAGGTATTGGTCATTGTCCGCATTTTCCAGATTGGATATTGAGAAACAGCTTTGAATTAGTTGCCATAAAGGGATATAAGAAAGTCTGTGGCAGGTGAGAAGCAAACCCAGACTTCAGTGCCTTTCATACACATAGCTTCAAATATCCATATTTAGTTACACCAAATATAGAGTTGGTCCAGTAAGCCTGCGATGAAAACATTCAAACCTAGACCCATATATAAAAATGTAGACGGAAAAACATATTAAGGGTGTGAAATATTTTAAAAGAAAGCATGGAAATGTTTTGGTAATTCAAACAGCATTTGATCAACTTAAAGCTTGTTAGATCATGACTCCCTAATTAACTGGAAGATCAAAATGCTATGTTGTGTTAGTCATGTATTACTGTAATTGCCTTTTTTTCAAAACTAGACAAAATAAATTTTAATATCAAATTAAGTAGCGTCCCCTTCAGTACTAATGAGATGCATTCTTCATGTGTTGGCAAGTGAATCATCCTTTGTTATGACAACTTAAGGTAATCAAACTAAATTCAAATTATAATTCAATTTCCTGTTTTACTTTTTTCTTTACCATAAAGTGCATTTTTAGTAGCAAAAACGGTCTTTTAAGAAGAGATGTCATAACTCTAGTATATTTTGATATTTTGCACTGGATGTGTAAGGGAGTTAGTTTTACTGAAATCAAGTGCAAGTTTTGTTATGTTTGAAACCTAGCACAAATGTTGACACTTACATTAAAAACAATGCCAGTATTGAGAAGAAATTTGAATGGATTGAATAATGCATGTTACAATAATTTAAATGAATGTGATGTTTTGTTGGGAAGATGCTGTCAAGCAATTGTAATTTTAGTAAAGCCTGTATGTATCACCACTTGGAAGATAATATGAGGACAGATAGTTGGGCTGAAGAACCTAACAACAATTAAAAAGGAATATTCCATTGCATTTTATGAAGAGTAATATAGTTTGGAAGCAGATAAAATGCAGAACTTAATACAGAAACGGGCTGGAAGTTTAATGGTGGCTTCCCTGTGTAATCACTAGATGGTAAAACCTCTCAGATGCTTAGTACAGTGGTGTTTTGGAAAGTTTCCTCATCTCTGTGCTCAGTGGACCAGATTCTTTCCTTCCTCCAGTTGGCCCCAAGGTCTTAATTAATTCTTGGTTATACCAAGTTTAGGGGCTTTAAGAGATGAATCCATCAGTATGGTGTGAATCCCCCCGACCCTTACCACTTACAGGCTACAAAACCATCATAAAGCCCCCAAAAACAGGAAGTCCAAATTCATAGCTGGTCATACTCCCATACTTTCACAGGAGACTTTGTGAGAGAGATGTCATGAGGGTATGTAAACACTGTTTTTTCCATAAGGATTATTGCAGCTGAGGAAGAAGATAGGACAGGGGTGGGCAATTATTTTGACTGGAGGGACACTTAATGAGTTTTAGGGATCCATTGAGGGCCACATGCCCCTCCCTCCCCTTTTAGTTCTGAGTCATTGTTCTCGGCTCTTCGTGGACTTGGACTTTTGTAAAACTTGCAATTGAATGGTCCCAGATGAGGTCACAATTTTTCTTTTTTCTCTTCTGGTGTTATTCAAATGGTGACATATGACTCAAGGCATACATTGTTAAAGCTTGCTGTTAACCCTTCCAGACAATGTTAAAGGTTATTTTATCGGAAAAAATCACCAAATGGCAGTAGGCCAAAAATAATCCTGTTGGTGCACTGTCACATTTTGTTCCTGGTTTTCAAACTACCTTCAGAAGATAAATGGAACTGGGGGGGAGGAGGGGGAGACCCAACAGGTCAATGTAAGAACATACTAGGTCTATCTAGACAAGTATCCCATCACTCATGGTTTGAGGGCCAGTGAGTGCTGGCTGGCATGCTGTGCTTGGTGTCCCCCCTTGGAGCACTTGTTTTTAATCTCTGACCCACAGTCCCATCCCTGGTGACACATTTGTTGTCCCCTGGAATCACTTGTATCTTCAGTAACCTCCCTAATTACAGGAGACTTCAGGTTTTCCTAGTAGCATCGCACAACAAACAGGCCTGCTTCCCATGGTGGCAGAGAGTTGATTCTGCAGGGAAGAATATTTAGGCAGACTAATAGTCTCAGTTATCACATGGTCAGGTGGGATTAGATTGTATTTCAAGCACTTTGAGGGATTTCAATGCTTGATCCTTTATTTAATGCAGTCATTCTCAACCCTTTTAGATTTAAGGCCCTCCTCCAAAACTTGTGAATTGAGTGGTACCTCCTTACAAAAACAAACGTATTTATTGTAGTGTCTGCTTCCTTGAAGAGGGCCTGGAAGGCACTTGGGTAAGCGGGGTGGGGTGGTACTTGGGAGGGAAAAGCCTGTGCTGCTGTGAATGAAGGGAGGAACCTGTACTCACCTCACCAGAGCCTGAGTTTATCTTGTTTTTCTCCTCTCTCCCAACGGTACCCTTCAAAGGCTGTTGCAGCAACCCGGGGTGCTGCGGAGCCCAGGTTGAGATTCACTGGTTCAATATTACATGTACTTGACATGAGGAACAAGTCAAGGTCCTTGGCTTACTTTAAATTAAACCATGACTTACTGAGGAAGACTGCTTTGCACTTAAATTCTGTGGAAAAAGATGCCATTCATAGGAATGGGTGGGCTGGGGCTGTCTTCTTCCCACACGGTCATCCTTAGTGGGGGCAAATTGGGGTGACCACCCCGGGCCCCATGCTTTGGGGGCCCTATGGAGCTGGGCGGAGTGGTGTGTCGACTCCACGCTGCCACTGGCTTCACGTCTAGCTGCTTGCCACCCCCCACTCAGTGCCAAATCCACTGCCAGCTTCTTCACATCTGGGGCCAGGGCCCCGTACAGGCTGATTTTGCCCCAGAGCCCTGTACGCTGCTTGGGTTGTCTCTGTCTTCCCATTTCAAATGTATTTCTTTTTTGAGTTTTATATCTCTAAGGTGAGTGAAACAGTCTTGGAATGAAGAATGTGACTTGGAAAGCTTAGGGTCCTATAGATTTTGAAAGATTACAGAAGAAAATCCTCCTGGAAAACAAAGCAAAAGATGGCTGCAAATGACCTGCGGCATCTTGGTTAAGTCTTTTGCACTCTTCATAGATTTCACAGTTTTCATATACGTTAGGGCTGGAAGGGACCTCGGAAGATCATCGAGTCCAGCCCCCTACCCCAGGGGCAGGAAGTCAGCTGGGGTCAAAGGATCCCAGCAAGATAAACGCCCAAATGTCTCTTAAAGGAGTCCAGAGTAGGTGCTTGCACCACCTCTGGTGGCAGTCTGTTCCAGGCCTTGGGGGCTCAGACAGAAAAGAAGTTTTTCCTTATGTCCTGCCTGAAACGGTCTTGGAGGACTTTGTGACCGTTCAACCTTATCATCCCTTGGGACTCTCTGGTGAACAGGCTTTCCCCCAGATCCTGATGCACCCCCCTTATATACTTATAGGCAGCCACCAGATCTCCCCTGAGCCTGCACTTTTCCAGGCTGAAGTGTCCCGTAGCTCTCAGCCTCTCATCATAAGGTCTATTTTCTGTTTTGAATCTGTTTTAAAGTCAACAAAAGCTTTTTCTCTAATGATAAATATAGTGCCTCAGCTGAAATAGATGGAAACAAAGGATTTTGCTGAAGAATTTTGTAGTTTTGTTTTACATCTGTGGTTTCATGTAACATCACAATGTATTGATCTGATTTTTGTCTCAGGCTCAAGAAGAGAGCGCTGTGGGTATCGTATCTTACGTCGTCATCGTAATTCAGAGGATCAAACGCACTGTATTGGCAAAGCTAAAAAGAATAGTGAAAATGCTACCCGGGTGAAAGAAATCCTCCTTAGTGCACTCAGTCCAGAGCAGTTTGTCTTAACATTACTAGAAGCTGAGCCTCCTAATGTGTTGGTGAGTCGTCCCAACAAACCATTTACAGAAGCCTCCATGATGATGTCATTGACAAAACTCGCAGACAAAGAATTGGTGCACATGATTGGCTGGGCAAAGAAAATTCCCGGTAAGAATTTCAGAAGCTTTTTAAATTAAAAATTGTGTACTGAGTACCGATATCCTTAAGGTAACATTAATGCATTAAGTGGCTGAAGTATCAGCAAAGTGGCATTAAATGTGTAATGTGTTGTTCTAGAAAACTGCTGGGAAATTGCTTCTGTTCTTCATAATCCTCCTCAAAATGTTTGCTTTAGAAAATGACCATGTACAAAGTATTCATAAGCCTTTCAAAGTTAACAAATACTTGTTTGTTTGCTTGTTTGTTGTGAAAAGCCACAATTAACGCAACATATGATTTCAGTTGTATCTCACAAATAGGTTTGAGCAATTTTGTTAGGAACCATAAATTAGCATATTTTACTGTGTTGACAGTAATTGTAGTTTGCCTTTTTGAGGTTTTAAACAGTTTTAAACTTTTCAATATCTAGCTTATTTTAAAATTAAGGGAGACCTAATTCTTTCCCTGCTGAAGAAGGGCTTCCATTTCAGCTGAAGGAAACTCCATGTGTGTACACAATTTTGCCTGATGGTTGTTATACAAAAGCACCAGGCTGTGAATTGGTGTGTAATGAGGAGTTCAGAATGATGACCTTTATATTCTAGAAGCAGATGACATTAGGAATATTCAGGAAACACAGCTTTTTAATGATTGCTTATGCAAGGTATTGCATTTCTGAAAACTTATGTAAGAAAGAGCAATAAGCAGCGTTGCCTGTTATGCATTGGCATAATCTGTTTCTGTAAAAGCTGTTGGAAACTTTCATGGACCCAAATTCATTTTCAAATGTCTTGTAATTTCAACTCCCTCCCTCTCCACTGATGTTTTTCACTATGCGGTGAAACTTGTCTGACTTTAACCCAACTACTTACTTGTTCCAATAAAAGATACCACCTTAGGAAATCCTTGCCATTTGTTACTTCAGAACTGTTATTTAGTGATTTATAGTACAAATACAAAATAAAAAAAGACGATCAAAATGAAACACTTTTGATTGACCTCAAATTGTTTTTTAATACTCCGCTGTAGAGAATTTCAAAGATTTTGTTTTAGCTTAGGGCCCCCTACACATTTAGGTAGAGGTGCAATGGGATTGAATATGTGATCCATGCAAACATGTCTCCTGCCATGCCACACGTTCATGGCAGGATGTGTGATTGTGGGATCATCAGTCAGATCCCATTACATCTTATAGCTGGTGCAGGGGGAACCTTATCCCAGGCTCCCCATGCACTGACAAGAAGCAAGTTTCCACTGCAGGGAGCGCCCTCAGCTGACAGGGCTCCCATCCACAGGGGTTCCCCATGCACCTTGTACCTGGAAGATCCCAGCTGTGTTGGTGCGTAGGGTGGTCCCGCAGCTGGGAGTCCTGTAGGTTGATGGCGTTCCCACCTGGGCGGAGGACACATGCTCCTGTGACTGGGAGCCAGCATGAGCTGGGAGCTCCCAGGCTTGGGGGAGCACGTGCCCCCCCAAGCTGGGAGTTTCGATCAACTGATGGGCTTCCAGCCACAGGGGCACAGGCTTCTTGTGTATGCTAAATCTAGAAACCAGCTATAAAATTATTACATATTTCCCAGCAATACCTGGTTGGACCTTTTTTTGGCACCATGGTTAATTTTGCACATGTAGCCAGTCTAAATTGATTGTGCAGTTAACCAGGTAATTGCATAATAGATGTAACGTATAGAGCAGGCCCTGTGTTCACACTTCAAGATTCCAAAATCTGGCTTTAATCTTTAAAATGAAACAGAAATCTGCAGAGCACTGCTTTATTTTTTTTTGTTGACATTTGCTTTGGGTTTGGTTTTTGCTCCCCGGTATTGAATTTATTTTGAGACAGCTTTACAAATCAAATCTTTTTTTGGTAATAGTCCAAATGTTGGAAGAAACAGCTATTAAGACAATTAGAAGCCATCATACAGATCCTAGAACCATCATCACAATCTTGTGTGGTTTTTTTTTTTCTAATTACCTTGTGTTACACAGAACAACATTAGACATTTGTTTTAGAACAATGTAGAAAATAGAAGGGTCACAGAATGGAAGTAGTGACATAAAAACAGATACATTCTGAATAGTGAGTTCCAGCATCCATATAATGTAGTAATTAACCTCTGCTATAGTACTGGTTTAAAAGAAACAAAGTAATCATGGTAGCTAGACTTCAGGATGTAGAAGGTCAGCATTTTCAAAAATAGACGCCTAAAGTTAGGCTTTTAACTGTCTATCTTCAGTTGTTTAAATAAGCAGCCTGATTTTCAAAGCTGAGTTTTTAACAGTTCTTCATGTACAAGGTTTGGTTCCTAAGTGCTTCTTATTCCTTCTTTTGATTAAGTCTTTTTTTTTTTTTTAATATTTTTTCCTAAACAAGAAAGTGATGCATAATAGGACAAATGAGCACAGCCTCTAAAAAGGAGAAATGCTAGAAAAATACCTTTTTTTCCTCTTGTAATATTCTAATTTTTTTCTACTTTTTATAGGGCTTTTTGTTTTTTAAATGGTGGAGGCCTTTGGTCCAGGCTAAAAGGTTAGATCCTTTCTCTTGGGCAGCTGGATAAGGAATCCCTTTCAGTTTTCAAGTTATCATCCAGGCTTATTTTGCCACAGAGGATGTGTCTACACAAGATGCTAAATGCGCAGTAGCCTAATACTACTGCACAGTAGTGTGTCACATCAGAAACAGTGCTACTGTGCAGTAGTATTAGGCTACTGTGCATTTAGCATCTTGTGGCTGGCTTCCTTTCACTCAGTACCCAGTGTGGTCTAGCATTTTTCCTAACTCATTTATCCCTATTTGACCATGTACCAGCATTTTTCTTTAACTTAGTTTTTCTCTTTCCTTAGTATGTACAACTGATTGTATTTATAAGGAATAATCATTACTGCAGTCCTGCTGCATGCACCAATGTAGGTCACTAATGTAGGTATTTAAAAGAGAGTGGGCTCATAGCTGATCCCTGAGGAACACCCCAAGTAACTTTTCTCCATGCTTTCAGGATAACTTATTGTCTCCCTGTCAGCTCCTGCAGTTCTAGCATTAATCCCCATCTTCTCCACCTTACATGTCCTGTGAGACAGAGTACCAAATGCCTCAAGAGAGGTTCATTCCACTGTACTACCCTTATCTAAGACAGTTATCCTATCATAGAAAGATATTAGGTTAGTCTGACATGATTGAGTTAAAATAAAGTTCTCAGTTTAGCCTCTCAGAAATCTTGATTGAGTTTTACTTTAAAAGCTGAATATTTTTTAAGGTAGGTAGTTTAACTTATCAGAAAGCAGGTGCAGTCATTTCTACTGTCATTTGGGCTTTAACAGTTTCCAAGGATGCCTCTTATATTGTCATCCATTTCTGAATCTCCTGTATTTCTGTCACGTTCCTTTTGAGACAAGGTGACCAGAACTGAAGGCAGTATTGCAAGTGAGGATGTAGCATTGACACTACAATATTTTTAATCTTATTAATATTGTAGCTTTATTTTAGGGAGTATTGCCATGACAAGTCTCATACAAGAGTCATACTTGCTATGACAAAAGTTCTTACTGCACAGTTTGCTATGGCACCCATCCGCTAGAATAGTTTGTCTTTTCTACTCTTGGCTCATCTAAATCTCTTGGTTTAGAGAAGACACATGACAGCCATACAAAATATTGAACAGTATCCATAAGGTCCTGTGTACTTGGACAATTGGATCTGGATTCTCTGACACGGTGGTTGAAATTCTGTGCTAGCATCAAATTAAGAATTGAATTATTTTTTGAATTGAATATGGAATGAATGATACAATCCATACAGGAACCACTGCTGTTTAGGTTGATGTTGGATTTATCTTATGCTTTTACAACAAGTGCTGTTCAATAGGCCTGTGTGAGTTGGCAGTGATCTGATCCGGCTTTGGATCCGGCCACTTCAGATGGCTGCGATCCGATCCGGAGCTCCAGGCCCAGTTTCCGCCTTGATCCGGCCGAAGCTTCGGAGCCACCTTGGAGATCTGGCCATAGGGTATAATGGGGAATCAATTAAATATGAATAACTTTGTTGTTTTTTGTCCAATTTGGATGAAACTTGCAGAGATGGTAGCCTTTGCTGAGAACATGAAACCTGCCAAGTTTCAAGAATATCGGTTCTGGCGTTTTGGGGGGAACTGTACCCCAAATTCTTGAAAGCCAAACTCATGTCACGGCTGTGTGTCACACGTCAGGGGGGTGAAAACTGCAGGGGTGGGAGCTCTTACTGAGGTCACAAAGCCTGCCAAGTGTCAAGGAGATTGGTGCAGAGGTTTTGGCGGGGGAACTGCCCCTCAAGCTGCAGACAAGCAAAACTCGTGCCATGGGTGATACTGTGTTAAGGCGCAGCAGGGTGAAAGCTGCAGGGATGGTGGCCCCTGCTGTGGCCAGGACGCCTGCCCGCTGTGGAGGAGATGGGTGCAGGGGGTGGTTCTGGGGCCCTGCACCCCTAGCTGCTGACAGGCAAAAACTCATGCCAAGACTGTGTCTGTCTTGGGGCAGTTGATTGTCTGTATTGAGACTTTCCACTCCTTAGCTTGGTTTTGTAGGTGCTAATTGTTGCTCGTTAAGTCATTATGTAGTAGCTAGGCCCTGTGTATTGAGCTGGTCCCTGAGTGAATCATGATTGATTGATCGGTAACTGGGAACACAGCAGCATAGCAGCCAGGCCTGCAGCAGTGTCTCCCCTCCCGCCCCAGGACAGACACAGTCAGTCCCACAGCACCCATGGCACCAGTTTTGCTTGTCCACAGCTTGAGAGGCAGTTCCCCCCAAGCCCCTACACCGATCTTCTTGAAACTTGGCAGACTTTGTGGCCTCCATAAGAGCTACCACCCCTGCAGTTTTTACCCTGTTATGTTGTAACACCTAGATGTGACATGAGTTTTGCTTTCAAGAATTTGGGGTGCTGTTCCTCCCAAACCCCTGCACCAATCTTCTTGAAACTGGGTAGGCTTCATCCTCTCTGCAGTCTACCACCCCTGAAAATTTAATCTAAATTGGACAAAAAACAATAAAGTAATAGATATTTTATTGTTTCCTCATTATACCCTATGGCCGGATCTCCGAGGTGGCTCCGAACTGCTTCAGGAAGCCAAAAGAGGCTAGGGCTTTGACCCGGACATGCTGCTTTCAACCCTGAAGCATTTGAAGCTTCTCCGGATCCAAAGCTCTGTCCGAAGCCTCGCACAGCCCTACTGTTCAAGATGTATTTTTTTGTATTAACAACACTTATTTTGTAGATAAGGCCAGAACGTGACCCTGTTGGTTTTGGTGGCCATGGGCAACTGGAAATTTTTGCATGGGAAGTGATTTGGGATAAGCACAGCAGCCAATTGTTTTTGAGACATCAACAGGCTTAAAAATGTCCTAAATTTCAGTGTTAATGCTCCATTAAGCAAAATGGAGGAGGTTATACTTCTGATAACCTGAAACATTGACTCTGAGCAGACTCAGGGGCTAAGTATAGACATTTAAAAAGTCTGAATTGATTCAGTTTTGCAGGTTAGTCTAACCTGTGTAGATTGAACCAATTTGCAAGCGAATTGGTTTTGATTCCTGAAATGCAGCTACATGCCTGCTGCAGCTCAAGCTAGAAGCCAGGGGGTGGTAGAGCAGCCCTCCTTTCCCTTCAGCAGTGGCCAAAAGGTTGGAGGGATGCTGAACTGAGTGGGGGGCATGGCCAGGCCCCGCTGAGTATGATCGGGGAGGGGTTTAAACCCCCACCCTGGCCTGCACAGTACCCAGCCAGGGTATGCCTGGAGGGGGAGGGGGGAAGCAGCCCTTGCCAGGCTTATCCCCGAGCAGTGGGGGGCATGGCCAGATACCAGCCCCTAGGGAGGCAGTATGAGACAAAGTGAGGGGTAAGGAGGGAGATTAAACCCCACTTCCTCCCCCTCCCACTGGCTCGGACCCCAGCCAGGGTCTGCCTGGCTTTTCCCCCCTGCTCGCCGCTCAGGCCAAATGCAGGCCTGAGGTGAAGGGTGGGGCGGGAGAGGGATTAACCCCCACTCCCCTCTCCCACTGGCATGGGATCAGACCCCAGCTGGGATCTTGTGCCAGTGGGAGAGGGGAGGGGGAGGTATAATCCCTCTCCCTTTCCCCCTTTGCCTCAGGCTGGCGTCTGGCCATGCCCCCTACCATTCGAGCAGGGGGAAAAGCCAGGCAGACCCTGGGTAGGGTCCTGTGCTGGTGGGAGAGGGGGTGTGTGGAATTAAATCCCCTTTCCCTGCTTACCCTGCTGGTCCTGGCCGGGGCATGGCCTCGCCCCCTGCTCTCCACTGGAACAGGGAGTGGGGTGGCAAGGACAGGAGATGTCATCCTCCTGCTTTACTTGGCCTTAGTGAGGCCGCAGCTGGAGTACTGCATCCAGTTTTGGGTCTCCCACTTCAGGAGGGATGTGGATAATCTTGAGAGTCATCCGCATGATGAAAGGTCAAGAGAGCAGCCCTTATGAGGAGAGGCTGAGGGTCATGGGACTCTTCAGCCTGGAGAAGAGAAGGCTCAGGAGGGACTTGGTGGCAACCTGTAAGTATATAAGAGGCATGCACCAGGATCTGGGAGAACTGTTGTTCACCAGAGCTCCCCAAGGGATAAGACGGTCTAACGGCCACAAACTCCTGGAAGACTGATTTAGACTGGACATAAGGAAATCTTCTTTACAGTCCAACTGTCCAGGGTCTGGAAGAGACTCCCTCAGAGGTGGTGCAAGCACCTACTCTGGACTCCTTCAAAAGGTGCCTGGATGCTTATTTTGCTGGGATCATTTGACCCCTGCAGACTTCCTGCCTATGGGCTGGACTCAATAGCTGGACTCGATCTAGGGAGGTCCCTTCCAGCCCCTAAAGATTATGAATCTAAGTGTGGCAGCCCTCCCTTCCCCGCATGCAGATGTGGGCTGGGGGTCTTCTGGGCCATGGAGGGGGTTAAAATCCCCCTCCATTCCCTCTGCTTGAGCTTGCTGACCCATGCCCCCTCCTCCACCACTCCAGTGGAGGAAAAGTCTGGCAGAGGCTGCTCCACCTCTGCCAGGCAGACCAGGTTGCATCCCCAGCCTGGTTTCCCACCCCCATCCCTTTTGTCAGCCAATCCTCACTGCTCTAGCTAGAGAGCAGAGGGGCAGGGCCAACCCTGCTCTGCTTGAGCAGACAGTACCACAGCTGCAAAGCATCCTGGGGTGCTGGGGGACTGATTTAACTTGAACCAAGAAGGTGTCTGGGCCAGAAGTTCCATAACCTGGTTTGACCTAAATCCATTAAGTCTGATACTACATTCAACCAGGTTTACCTTAAACCAGTTTTGGCCATTTAGACACTGGTTTATGCACACTGAACTTCTGTTCTGTTACAGGTTTAAAATAGTTTCTGATCACTTAGGCCAGTTTGTGTGTAACTTCTGTTCCTAGCCAGGATGACATTTCCATGATTTTATTTCAAGCAACAAGGTCTAGAAAGATACTTTACAAACAGTGAAAGCTCAGGGTCTTGAGCACAACCATGCAGCAAGTGATGAATCCTATAGTGACTTCCATGGCAATTATGTGGCAGTTGAATCAGAGAATATGCAGGGGGGGAAAATTCAGTGCTCTTGCTTGTCCTTTTTCTTAATACAAGAAGGGAGTATTTTGAAATTGAAAGTCAACAAATTTTAAAATGGTTAGAAAGAAATGATCTTTTATGCAGTGTGCCTTGATCTATGAAACTCATCCTAGACATAGAGTCCAGTAGCTTAGGGTATGGTTATATGAACAAATTACTGTGAGTAAAGTCAGGGTTAAAGCTCCTCCACTGTAACTTACTGCATGGTAAATGAGAGGCAGTTGTTTCCACTTTCATTGAGGGGGAAGCTACCTTTTTATGTACCACAGTTAAGAATGTGTACACAGCTAGTTGTAGAGCATCAGCTACTTGAAGGTAAGTTTATACCCTGACACACATCATAGGGGCTCATTCATGTGCTTTTACTCAGTCAAATTTTAAAATTAATTGGATGTTTTAATGAATCAGAACATTAGGGTTGGAAGTGACCCAGGAGGTCATCTAGTCCAACTTTCTGCTTAAAGCAAGACCATCCCCAGCTAGATCATTCCAGCCAGGACTTTGTTTAGCCAGGCCTTAAAAATCTCCAAAGTCAGAGATTCCATCACCTCTCTATGGCTAGGGACAGAAGTTACACATAAACCAGTTTAAGTGATCAGAAACTAGTTTAAATCTGTAACAGAACAGAAGCTCAGTGCACATAAATCAGTTTCAAGGTGGCTGAAACTGGTTTAAGATAAACCTGGTTGAATGTAGTATCAGACTCAACTGATTTGGGTCAAACTGGCTTATGAAACTTCTGTCCGAAACCCCTTCCAGGTTCAAGTTAAATCACAATCTCCCAGCACCCCAGCATGCTTTGCAGCCCTGGGCTGGGCTGGGCTGTCTACTCCAGCAAAGAAGTGTTGGTCCCACACCTCTGCTCCCTAAATGGAGCAGTGAGGGTTGGCTGACAAAGGGTGGGGGGAGCAAGCCCGGGGGGGATGCAGCCAAGTCTGGGAGGGGTGGGAATTCCCCCCCGGCAAACCCTGACTTGAGTCTGGGGCCAGGGAGGGGGTTAAATGCCTCTTCTCCTGCTCAAACTTACTGCTGGCTGCGAATGTGGACTACAAATCCCAGAGGTACCTGGAAGTAGGAAGAGGAAGTGATGAGCAACCCTGCAGAGTCCTGATGATGTGATTGGGAACCACAAATCCCAGAGACCTTGAGGGCAGCAGGAAGAGGAAGTGAACACACATCCCATGCTGGCTACATGCCAGAGAGCTGTGTTCTAGCAGCCCCTGGCTTCTGGTCTGAGCCACTGCAGGCATGTGGCTGCATTTCCTGAATCAAAGGTAAATGTCTGCTCACTTGTGTCTCAATTTAATCTGTGCAGTTTAGACTAACCTGCAAAGACTGCATTGATTTAGCCTTGGGCTTTTTGACTGTCTGTACTGAGCCTAGGTCACCTGTTCCAGTGCTTCACCACCCTCCTAGTAACAAAGTTTTCCTAATATCCAACCTCAACGTCTCTTGCTGCAACTTGAGACCATTTGCTCCTTGCTCTGTCTATCGTGAGAACATTCTCTAGTGCTTTAGGCAAGAGAGCAACAATTTTGGGTGGATACAGAAATCTCATGTTTCAGGTCACAACACAGCTGTCTGAAGAGGGCTAGGGATAAACTGCCTGTATAGTCAATACCCCATTATGTGGTGTCTGAAGAATTGGAACCCTACCTCATCTGAAATGGAAGCTCTTTGCTAGTGGTAGGCACCAGGGTTTGAGAACTTCGGCCTAAACATGGTTGTGACCATTGGATTGGTCCTTTATGATGGTTGTGTTAGTTCCTCACTTGTCTCGTTACATGCCCATGAATGTCTTATTCCTGTTCAAGATTTACATCCTTGATTCCAGAACAGAACACTTCAATCTAATGTTTTTCTCCACAGTATATGCACATGTGGCTTTTTCTTTTAAACATCTGAAATATTTTCTTTGCTTTTTTAATGTCTTTGCTGTTCTGTAAGTAGAGAAATGAATAGGTGGACACATCTGATGCTGTTTCATTGTTTTAGGCTTCATAGAGCTTAGTCTGTATGACCAAGTGAGGCTCTTGGAGAGTTGTTGGATGGAAGTTTTAATGGTGGGTCTGATGTGGAGATCGATTGATCATCCCGGCAAACTAATTTTTGCACCAGACCTTGTTTTAGACAGGTGAGAAAAAACATATATATATTTATATACATGCATATATTTGATCTTTAAGCTTGCATTGCTTTTCAGCATATGGATGAAAATGAGTGGGTAGGCATCAGGGATGCTATTATTGTATCACATAAAGGAATAAAGGAAATAAATGACGTTATCACGGTAATGTCTTGAGGTCCCTAATCTCTAAAATGGGTCAAGAATTCCAAACATAAAGAATATTCTCAAGTGAATTAGAAACTTCTGAACCCCTTTAGTTCTATTCATATAAATAATCATATTCTATTTACCAATATTGATTTATTTTAATTTTTGTCATCACTGTCCAGATCTGTAGACCCCAAAATGTAAAGCATATAACTTAACATTTTAAATTCAACACTGTGTGTTAGTTTTTGCCATTAAGTTGATTCTCCCAGAAAAACTAGACATCTGACCAAATCATAACACATAAGCTCCACTTATCTTATTCATCTATATCCATAACCAAACATTAATTTCTGACTATGTACAGAAGGACAACTGAATTTTTTCCTATAGGTTAATTTTCATTTGTTACAAATGAAAATATTATTTTCAGGAATCTTCTTAGCAGAGCAAGCTAAATCTGTGAAATGTAGCATGACCATTTTTCTGCAGGACATGATCAAAACTGGAGTTCTTTTTCATAAAGGTGAAAAGTCAGTATAGCGATCTACTGTCCAAGCTGGCTTTAAAATGTTTAAGCTTGTTGACATATGAATAAAAAGCAAAAATTCAGGTCCATGATAGCAACATGCTTGTCTCAAGTGTAAAGTGTTGTCACATATGCTGCAAATAGATAAAAGGCAAAATTGCTTCTATAGCAAAGGAAGCTAATTCAGCTTTCAGAAGTCTTAGAGTATAAGTTGTTCAAGGTAACAATAAGACATCGCTGAGAAAAAGTAGCGTGTGTTGGGTTCTTATAGGAAAATCCTTAGAGGACAGTTGAAAGACAGAAGGCTCGTTAGGTACATGCCCTCATCTCTGTGAATGGGAGCAGATCCTGGGTTAACAGACATCAAGATTATTCAATACATTTAGAAATGTTTACAAGATATGTTTAGTTCCTGATCTGTTTTTTATTAAGATATTCTGACCCTGCAGCAATGCATTTTTTCTCACACATGCTTTGTTGAGCAAGTTCACTTCTCTCCAAGCTGGGCTAGCTCGTCCTTCTCCAGACCCCATCCTAAAATTTTCCTTTGCCATGAAGTCTTGGCAATAGTTAGCAGCTGGTGTGCTGAGATCTCTGGTCATTGTGCTGCCAAGTATTGCCCATAGTTTCCTTCTGGTTTTTTTGTCTTTACTGGCCTGTTGTTCCCTAGATATTAACTCTGTGAGGCAGGAATGATAATTTTATTCTGGGTTTGCATTAGCTAACACAATGGGGTTCTGCTACATGACTGAAGCTTTACTGTGGTAGCACTTGCCATTAATAAGAATAATAATATAATTCAGGGGGGGTCAACCTTTTTGGCAGGCATGCCACCAATTATCCCCAGTGTGCCACGCTGAGCCCTTTTCCTTACCCAATCTTCTGCTCTGCTTTCTGCTTCTTGCCCTGTGCTCTCTGTCTGTTGTGATGCTCTGATTTCTGTTCCCTGGCTTATCTGCCACTGTGCTGCCTCTCTCCTCTTGCATTTACCAGTGCTGCACAGAGGCTGCCTGTGCCACTTGTGACACCTGTGCTGGAGGTTGCCTCCCCCCGATGTAATTAAGTTTTCCAAAAAAAAAGGGATCTTCATAAGCAAATTCTCAAGCTAAAAGTGCTGCACTCCACATTCCTGTATTTTTGATTGCTGAAAAATCTGCTTTTGGTTGGGTCCAGTTGCTTCTGAGAAGTGATGTTTTCAGAACACAGATTTGAAAGTCCACTCTTTTCATATAGTACACACCAGCCACTTTCTAAGAACAAGACCACGCTATGAGGGAATCTTTGGCAGCTGCAAATCAAATGACGAGGTAATAGGAACTCAGAGATGATTCTAGCCGATTCGAGATCCTAGTATTCCCTGCACCACTTCCACAATCTAGCGCTTCAGACTAGCTATCCAGCATGACAGTTAACTTGGTAGATAAAATATCTCACGAAATGGGACCATTTTAACACCTAGTTAAACCTGTTTTAAGTAAACACTTGAGGAACTAGCAAAAATCAGTTGCATAATAGAAGTGACCTATTACGTATGATGCAACTTTTAAATTGATTTCTCTCTGGTCATATTCATTTGGAAATTCTCAAAGGTTTTCTCTGTTTATGCCATCTTTCTCTGCTGTCTGGTTTTTAAATGTCTCAGTTGTCTAAAATATGTGTGACATAAATAAGAGTCTGACTTCATTAGAGCTGTACTGATTTATCACTAGTCAAAGACTGTAGTTTGCTACGTGTTGTTTTGAGCTGCTTACAAAATGGCCTGAATGTAAATTCATATGTAACTTAGGATCAAATAATACTTTTGTAGGGGGGGAAGCTGAATATTGCACATCATTTTCAGTAATATTTTAAATGTGTCTGTAGGGATGAGGGGAAATGCGTAGAAGGAATTTTGGAAATCTTTGATATGCTCCTGGCCACAACGTCGAGGTTTCGAGAGCTGAAATTACAGCACAAGGAATACCTGTGTGTCAAAGCTATGATCCTTCTCAATTCCAGTAAGTGCACATCTACCTTTGAGATATGTCAAGTTGTGCTGATTATATAGGGTGGGCAAATAATTTTTTTCTAAAAATGGCAAAAATATCCCCAGATATAAAGATCCTTGAAATAGAGTGAAAGGAACAATGTTTTCATTGCTAACATTTTTTTAGTGGCTTTTTGTTGGTTCTGGCAAATTCTAGGCCCCTGCTACACAGACTCAAATGGGCTTGAAAGTCTAAAGGCTCCTTGTCCATGGGTATATAGGCCACCAATGGGCGAAGAGTATGCTTTTTTGATGCTGGGGGAACAGCAAGGAATTCTGCCACGAATTATGTATCCTGGTGCATTCACAGTGTAATAAGCCCCTTTGTCTTCCTAGATGCCAGTAAAGCAACTGATTGGACTGAGCGACTGTCCTGTGTTTTATTTTCATAACGTCATAGTATTATAGTGCTTAGGGTCAGAAGGGACCTGAACAGACAATCAGGTCCGACCCCCTGCCCCAGGCAGGAACTGGGGCCAGGGTCATATCACCCCAGCCAAATATCTGTCTAGCCTGCTCTTGAAGACCCCCAAGGTAGGAGAGAGTGCCGCCTCCCTTGGGAGCCCCTTCCAGAGCCTGGCAGCCCTAGCGGTAAAGTAATGTCTCCTGATGTCCAGCCTGAACCTCCTCTCTAACAATTTGTGGCCATTTTCATTTCAGTTCATCAGCAGAAACAATTCAAAGCACTCAGCTGATTTGTCTGCCAAGTGCTCTTTGGGAATCGCATCTGCAGTGTGCGGTCTCTTACAAAGCATGAGCAAGTGTTGTTCTTGCCTTGTGAGTCGCAGCCCACTGTAATTTCATTGCAGAGTAGGTCTTCTCGCCAGAAACCCCCATGCAATGTCTACATAAACAAATCTGATATTATTTACATCTGCTGTTTTCAGTCCAAGTCCCAGCACAATTCAGAATCACATCCAGCTGCAGTCTGTCTAGAAATAAGTGGCATGCCAGGATTTTTACCGAAAACAGAGATTTGCCCTTCTTTAATAACGTGCTGCATTAATCTCTGTGATTAAATCTGGTGCAGAAGATTGTCAAGATGGGTAAAGAGCTGCCCAGACGTACATAAAGGTCTTTTCATGTTCATAATGGAGTGCCAGACTCATATTTGTCTGTGCATTCTCAGTGATGGATTTGGGATTCCTCTGAAGGGGACGCAGTCGGGAACTGGGTAGCATTGTTGGAGAGTCCGGAAGGCGGTGGGGAGACTGAATAGCAGTGGTGCCTCTTCAGGCAGAGTTATTTGCTTGTTTGGATAAGTAAGTTTAATTAAAACTCAATTTGTAAATCATCTCTGGTGTGGGGTTGTAATATGGTGACTGGAGGTAGGGAAAAAGGCCACTTTAGAGAGCTGCATATTTACACAAACATTTAAAGATGATTCCTGTAAAGAGAATGTGGTCCTTACCCCTAAATCAGAGCTCTAATGTACGGGGCTTATAAATCACTGATGTATGTATATGTATCTACATCTCTGATGTACTGCTAGGCTATTTCATTGCACCTGCAGGCAAACCTAGGCGACGTCTATCCATCACTTTGCAGCGTTCGCATTGTGCTGATCTCTCGTGGGTGGTGGCTGTTACCATGTGCCTGTTTTTTAAACATAGAAGCAATTAAACAGGGATTTTTAAAAAGTGTCTAATTGATTTAGGAGCCCACAGCAATAGTACTTTTAGTCCTTGATCTCTGAAAGCAATGTATATACAGTGCTGGGAATTTTGGGAAGCCCTTTAGTATGTATTTATTATAATTTTGCTGGGATTCAAGCAGTGTATGCTGGTGGCATTAACATAAAATCTTGGGGTTTTTTCCCATGCTGGAAATAAAAAGAGCGCTCAGCAAGAGATTCCAATATCTGACCTGTCTCTCAAATTTCCAGTCTGAGTTGAGTTTTCCAGAGTGTCTTGTAGTGTGTTTTCAGTCATTTCGATTGGTATAGTTATCTGATGTCAGCAGAGAGAATATTTTTTTAACAGTTTGTGTCCATAATTAATGCTTCAGGGTGGCAATCCATTTTTTTCTGCATGCCCAGACATCCTGATTTAGTCATCTATATGACCATTTTTTGGTTGTGTAAGTTCCCAAAAATGCAGAATGCCAATCTGTGTCTTACTATTATGGAGACACAGCCCTACACACCTGGATGGATATCTGTACAATCATCTAGTCCAGCCCCAGGCTCAGGACAGAATCAGCCTTGATGACATAATCCCAGACAAGTGTCTGTCTAACCTGCTCTTAAAAACTTCCAAGGATGGAGAATCCCCACTATTATTAGGTAACCTGTTCCAATGCTGGACCACCCTCAGAAAGCTCCTCCTAATTTCCACCCTAAATTTCCTTGCTATAATTTAAAGCCCACTGCTCCTTATCCTGTCCCCTGCAACCACAGACAATTCTATCTCCGTCCCTTAGGTTTCTCTTCTTCAAACTAAATAATCCAAGAGCCAAGGTCACTGACCTGAGGAAGGGCATCTGCAGTCTGAAAGCTTGCCCGATAGCTGTCCCAACTATACGGTTGTTCCTACACCAGATATCACAAAAAAAGCCTTGCCTTGACTCTTGACATTTCTTGGACCATCACGGCTACAACAATACCCCAACCCGACTAAATAATTCTAGCTCCGTCAGTTTTTCCTTATAAGTCATGCTTCTAAGACTTTGAATTAATTTTGTTGTTCTTTGCTGGAATTTTTCTAAACTGTCCACATCTTGTTTTAAGCACAGGGCCCAAAACTAGACATGGTACTTTTGGTGAGGCTTCACAAGTACCAAATAGAGTACAAGAATAATTCCCTTGATTTGCACGTAATATTTCTATTCTACAGCAGTATGCGACCTGAAACATGACCTTTTCTTTGCAACAAAAATGTACTGTTGGCTACATAGTCACACCAAGTGAATGTGTGCCCTAGTGTCCAGAGCCTTTACCTGTGCTCCTTCTGGACATGTTGCATCCTTAGCCATTCAGAAACTGAGCTGTCAAAACCCCACAGCTAATGGGCACAGATGTGTGGCCTTGTATTCACCTGGGATGCTGGTGGTCCAGGAGCCCCCTCACCCAGTGGAGGTTTGGACCAGGGCCTCTTTCGCTTCCTTTAACCACCACGTTAGAAGCAGCTGCTGTTCACACCCTTCTCCAGTGCTCCTTTGGAAGCTGAGCTGCTTACACAGTCTTTGGAAAAAAATTGATGGCAGGGAACAAGCATCTGTCCAACTATGGATAAGGGCTTGTGATAGCTAGGGCTCTCTTCCTTCCAAGCCAGCACAATCCTCGAAGTCACACAGCCTTACTTGCTCCCTTCTTCCTGGCCCCATATATCTCCTACATGCCTTCCCTCCCTGGCTGCCCAGGGGAAGAGCTTCAAAAGCAGTACCAGAGACCAGGCTAAGCAGTGGCTGACTACCAGGTAGTGGTGAGGTGGTTAGAGTGCTGAGCTGAGAAGTTATTGGGACCTAAGTTCAAACCTGTTCTTGGATGAGTGGGACCCAGGGCATCCAGCTTCCCAGCTGAGTGGCCTTGCTATTCATCATCGGGGGGAGACATAGGAGCATGTACTCACTTTGTAGCCAGAACAGACGATTGACTTGGGCATCTGTGTTGCCCTCCAGGTGCATAAGGCTACGTGGGCATTGTAGAATGTCATCTTCTGTGTAAGTGATTTTTTGGGGATGTGTGTATCCAAAGAATGCCATGTGGATGATCAATCCAGACACCTGGGTGTCCAGAAGAGAAAAGAATGACACTCTTAGTAAATCGCTTACAATATTCCACTTATAACATTCACAGCTCTGTCCCTCACTAAATATCCGTCTCTGTGCGTTTACCCTATCTGTGCCCAATCAGTTGCTTGCCTGGTCTTTCTGCAAGTTCTGTATTTGTTTTAACATGTCACAATTTGGGGTTGGCTGGGCCTCATCTAGTAGTCAATAAATATCTGTTTCAGCAAAGCACCAAATACAGATACATACCAGTTTCTCCTGGCTCCCTATTCCTGGGCCTGGCATGCTTCAGAGGTGGGAAGCAACTTTTATATCCAGGGCAGGTTAGAGTAATCATGAAGTTGCTCTTACTCAAACCAGAGTAACCCCTTTAGAAGATCCAAACTAGGGCATGCAGAAGTGGTGTGATATTACTTGTGCCTCTTCCCACAGCTTAGGATAAGCCCAAGCCATCAAACCAAGAATCTGGCTCTGTGTCTTTGGCATATATTGCAAATATTAATGGTTTCAATTGGGGGATGCTTATTCAGTATGCAAATGTATGACAACTGGTCACAGAATAAAAAAATCAAAAGTTAAATAGCATGTAGGTATATATTGGAGCAGCAAAACATGGTTTTAGTGGGTTTGGAAATGTATTTTTTCCTGGTTCTATTGAACAGTTACTTCAGAAGACCATTGATGCTGCAATTGGAAGACATGACTGCCGGTGCTTTTCTGTCTTCTTTGTTTAGGTATGTTTCCACTATCAGCAGAAGAGCCTGAAAGCAGCCAGAAGCTCCATCACTTACTTAATGTAGTAACCGATGCTTTGGTGTGGGTTATTGCGAAAACTGGGATCTCCTCACAGCAGCAAACAACTCGCCTTGCTAACTTATTGATGCTACTATCTCACGTGAGGCATGCAAGGTAATGTTTAGCAAACTACATGGTACTTTCCAGTTGTAACGTTTGTTGTTACAGCAGCAAATCGCAGCCCAGCTCTTAATCTCAGTGCAAAAATTTTGGCACTTTTCCTTAATGTTATTATATTATTTATAGATTCATAGAGTGTGAGGGGCTGGAAGGGACCTTGCAGATCATCGGGTCCAGCCCCCCCGTTCTAGGCAGGAAGACAACTGGGGTTAGGTGACCCCAGTGAGGTGACTGTCTAGTCTCCTTTTGATAACCTCCAGGGTAGGTGATTGCACCATCTCTGGAGGGAGTTTCTTCCACAGTGTGGACACCCTGACTGCAAAGGAGTTTTTCCTGGTATTAAGCCTGAAGCGGCCTTCCAGGAGTTTGTATCCATTGGTCCTGGTCTTCCCCGGGGGTGCCTGGGTGAACAGTTGTTAATTTAATCCTACCAATTAAATTAATAGTATAATAGGCTGAAGTGTTTGCTGATACTTAGTAGGGCTGTGTGAAGCTTTGGTTCCTGATTCAATTTGGCAGAGATTCGACCTGATTCGGTGGCTGAATTGAATCAGAGGATCCTTTAATCTCTCTGAATCGAATTGGGACCCCCCCGAATCAGTTTGGAGATATCAGAAAGATTCAGCTATTTGGACATAGACATAACTTTAAATGTTTTGTTTACATACCTCTAGGTAGCAGGCGGCTTTCAAATGCTGTGATGCGGGGGGGCATGGAGCGTCCCACAGGAGCATGGGGGCCCCCCCAGGGCGCTCAGCAGCAGACCTGGAAGTGGACCAGAAGCACTTCCTGGTCCGCTGAGGGTCCCCCCGTCATGGCTCAGCGACTGGTGCCTCCTGGGTCTGGGGGCGGGGGCATCCAGGGTCCCCCCATGGCCAATCGCCAAGCCGGGGTGGCACAGGGAGGCTCCCCTGTGTGCTCCTCAGTGGACCTGGAAGCGGACCAGAGATACTTCTGGTCCACTTCTGGGTTCACCACCAAGCACGTGGAGGCCCCCCCCATGCGCCCCAGCATTGCAGCGTTCATGAGCCACGCCTGGTACCTCAAGGTATGTAGAAAAACCATTTAAAGCTGTGTTCGTCTGAATCGCTGATTCTCCAAATCGGCATGGAAACTTCAGATTCAGATTCAGGTGAATTGAATCGGGGACAGTGATCCGAATCAATGAATCGAATCACTGTCCCTGATTCGGGCCAAATCTGAATCGAATAGGGCCTGCTTCGCATACCCCTAATACTTAGGGTATTGCATTGATACTAAAGTGTGTATCTTATATTCCATTAATTTAACTACATCCGATTTGCATTGCAACTCCTTTTCATTCTGTTTAGCACTCCACTCCTTTTTTCCCCCTTCTCTTTAAAAGAGCAATTGCGTATTTCCTTCAATGGGAAATCTCCACCAGTGCTGTTCAGGGGATCGACAGGTCAAGCGTACTTTGGTAGAGTGTTTGTCCCAGACTTAGTGTGGGTTTCCATGGAGAACTGTTAGTGGCTCTTCTCAAAATCAGATATTCTTTCATCAAGCCATTTAAAAACCATGGGCAAGTCGTTCCTATGGGTGAAAAGCTCTACTCCATGCTGGTTTTCTGGTTGCTACTATAACTCCTTGAATTGTTCAGGACTTTTGCTTAGAATATAAACTTTCTTCTTGAAGTTAAGCTGTCCATTAGGGTGTAGTAGAGTAATTCTTAACCAAGGTGCCATGGCACCTTAGGGTGGCATGAGATCCTTTCAAGAGTGCCGCAAGGTGCCATGAATGTTAAGTGTTCAAACACGATTCACAAGATAAATCCAGGGATTTCAAATAGGAATCTGATGTTAAAAGCATTCTGTCCTGCTTTGCAACAGAAGAATTGCCCTAGTGTTTTTTAAGAGTAAAAAAACCAAGTGAAAATTAAGTCCTGGCATTTTCTGAGGGGTGCCTTGAGTTGAGAACCACTGGTGCAGTGTATTGATCAGTCCCAGGGAGAACAGTTTGTTTTAAGGTTGTTGGTATTTCTGTTTGAGATGTTTTGATAGTCATGTCCCATATCTTGCAAGTGGTGCTTTTGCTTGACTTCCGAAATTGTTCTGAGTTATTAGACTACACTGGAGTGTTACACTGCACTGTGGTGTCAGAGTGACTCTTGTCCTCCATCACTTGTAATAGAAGTAAATGGGGAGTCTTGTCAGGTGTAAATTCTTTCTTCTGGAAAACTACTCTTTTTAGGCTACAACTTTGGCTGAAAACCATAGTGCTGTTAGATACATATACTGTATTGCTTTACATCTGATTTTCCTTGTTCTTGAGATATTTTATGCTCTTGCCTTTGTTTATACAAAGATGATTCAGGACCCCGAAGAGTGAATTTGGCCCTTCTCTCTGCTGAGCAGGCCCCCTTTTTCTAAGTGTTGGATTAGATTGCTGTAAGATGAAAATAACTTTTTATGCATGTACTTATCCCTTCTTAGCCATTCCACCTGACAACCTCCGTGCTAGGCACTGTAGGTAAAGCTCTAGAGA